AATTTCCTGGGGAGTTTAAAAGAGAAAGAAATTCTATCCAGGCCTCATTTTGATGAAGGGGATTTTGGTTTTTTATAACATTACAGAAGTATCGTTTATATACAAGTAGCTACATATTTAAAGCCTACAAGCTGAGGATTGTGACATTTGTGAAATTATTAGCAGTGCAAATTGAACATTTTCATAACTCCCCAAATGTTCTTAGGCTACCACTACTTCAGGGAAAATAAACATCTTGATAATATTTATTCCAATTCATGAAAATGATAGCATTAGATCTTGCTTAATTTTCTTTAGGACTGATTTTTAGTTTTCATTATAGAGGACTTATGTATTTCCCATTGGATTCCATACTTTTTTATTTTTTTCCTGAGACAAGGTCTCATGTGGCCCAGGCTGGCCTTGAATTCACAGCAATCCTGCGTCAGCCTTCTAAGTGCTGAAATTATAAGTGTGCACCACCATGCCTGGCAGATTTAATCTTAATATTTTGATTTTTGACATTATTATGAATTGGTTTAAAATACGTTTTCCAATTGATTGCACCAACATACAAAAGTTTAACTAATTTTGTATATTAATATTAATACTGTGATCTTCTTAGTTGTAATAGTTGTTTGAAGATGCCCTGGTGTATCCTAAGACAGTAATGTTGAACCTTTTAAAGCTTTCAGTGATACAAACAACCTGCTGCAGTGCATATGCCATAGGTTTGCCACCATTGGCCTAGATAAATAATTATGTCATCTAAAATTAAAGATACATTCCTTATTCCTCTCCTCTCCTCCCCTCCCTTCTCGTTATACTATATATTTGAAGTTGTGCTGGTAGGCCACAGTCAGTTGACTTTTGCTGTTTTAGTCTTCTCTGTGTATTGCTTTTTCATTGGAGCATTTACATTAACATTTATGTAATTGATATAGTTGATTATAGGTTTACATGATGTTTTCTTTGACTTATGTTTTAGTTCATGTCTTCCTCTTTTGCCTTCTTTAGATTATTTGGATATATTTTAGTATTTATTCCATTTAATCTGTTAGTTTTTTAGCTATACTTTTAAATATTTATATCTAAGGATTTTTTTTTTTTTAAAAGACAGGGTCTCTGTGTAATCTAGGCTGGTCTTGAATTTGTTGATGATTCTCCTGCCTCAGCCTCCATACTGCTGAGATTATAGGCATAAGGATTTTAACAGTGCATCCCTAATGTTTTGCCTTGTAGTCAGTTAATATTCTGCCACTTCGTATGTGTAGAAATCCTTCAGTTGTTTAGGTCCTCTTTGCATTTTCCCTCACTATTTCCCATAGTCATATTATGAAGTGCATTCACATACATTATAACTTTTATCTTTAATGATATGTAATTTTAAAAATTTTAAAAATAATTTTTGATACTTACTTGGATATCTTCTGTTTCTGGTGCTTTAATTCATTCCTTACGGTTCAGGTTTTCCCTCTGCTATGTTTGCTTTTGGCCTAAACAGTTTTCTTACAGTGCAGGTCTTATTGCCAATAAATTCACTTTGGCTAGGTGTGGTATTTGTTTTTCTGTGGCTCACTGTGGTCTTTTCAACTCAATTGTGATGTGTCTCAGTGTAATTTGTCTTTAATTTTTTTTCTTATTGCGGTTCACTGAACTTTTCAGATTTACAAATTTGTCTTCCATTAAATTTCTAAAATTTTTAGTCATTATTCTATGTATTTTCTATCCTTTTCTCTTCCTCTGGAAATCACAGATTACTCATTAGACCTTTTGAGATTGTCCACAGGTTTCTGAGGTTCTGTTTTCTCTTTCCCTGTCTTTTTCATTCCTTCTTTCTGTGTTTTTTCTCCATCAGATTAAGTAATTTCTACTTAATGTGAGTTTACTGGTTCTTTTCTCTTTTTTAATTCTAATTTTAAAATAAAGCTCATCCACTGATTTTTTCCCCTTTCAGAAATTATAATTTTCAGTTTAAATTTTTGAATTTATCACTTCACTAATATGTCCTTCATTATATTTTCAGTCAAGTGTATATTTTAGGGGTCAGCCTAAGACTTTGTGGTTTTTCATACACAGGATTGTGGAGTCTCTTTTTGACTTTTTCCCTGTATAGAATTCTCTTCTCTCTCTGTTCTGGCTATTTTTAGCTGAACTTTTCCCCTTGTTCCTCTTGACAGAAAGATAGCTTTAGGTGTTCACACCTCACATCTACTGGCCAACCATGAGGCAAAGCTGCAGCAGAATAATAAATTCATATAGTTGCTGATCTCTCCAAGTTTTGACTTCTTGCTGCAATGTATTTTATTTACTCCTTAGAACCTCAGGTAGCTGCACCACCACCACTGCTGCAGTAATTTGTAGTTATTAATAACAGAAGATTGGTTGGTAGCAGAATCACACTGCCTTCCTCCAAGTGGAACTTGAATGAATAAGGACTCCAGGAGGGACCATTCACAGACTGACTGGTACTATCCAGATTAAATTCATTGATATGGCCTTTGTCCACAATTTGGATTTATGGTTGTAGCAATAACAGTTGTTTTGCCTAAACCCTCTAGCTTTGCTATTCAAAGAACTTGTCTATTAATAATATAGAATCAGTGTACCTACAAATAAAAATCTATACCATACTATTGGGAACATCTATGCATGTAAAAGAGTGTGCCCTTTACTGACTATATTGAAAAGTAAAAGTATCTATGAAGAACTATTAATTAAAATATTTTTAAAAATTACTAATAGCTGAATCATGAATCTGACTGTAAGGGAATGCAGTGCCTCATATTAAAGCTGTCTCTTTTCTCATTAATTATAATGGAGTATTCCTTTGTATATTCTGGCATCAGTAGCAGGTATATTCTAGTGGTTATCGTAATATCTAGCATTTATTGTGTATTTCAGATACATTGCTAAGTGTTTTATATGAATTACTTGAGGTCTTAAACCTCCAAATAAAGTGATCCTCTCTTTATAGATGAGGAAACAAGCATGAAGTTTGAGTAATTTGCATGAAGTCACAGCATAGATTTCCCTTTTCATACCAGTAGTGTAGAGCAAGAATAAATGAACCAGAAGTCTGGGCTGAGATCATGTCAGTTGAGTTAAAGGAACATACTGTTTGCAGTTTTATAAAGTAATTGTGTTAACTTGCATATAACTAACTTGGCTGGCATTAAAATCAAACCATGGACAGAATTGTTTTTATGGTTCTTCCAGCTTCTCTTTCTGAAACTTTTTTTTATTTTCACCTCATTCTCAGTGCTCAGCACGAGAATGTTAGATTCTAGCATGTGTGTTTGGCTCTGTGCTTTTCCTTCATTTCAGTCATGTTTCCTGCTCCCTACCCTCAGGTTGTTTAGATTACCTGATGCAAGAAATTCATGCTGAGGAATTTAGTGATAAGAAATTGACCATGTGTCTCAATGAAATGATTTTTTTGCTCTTCTCTTTGCTTTTGTTTTTATTTCACAATGCGAAAGATCAAAACCAGGGGCCTTGTGTATGCTAGGCAAGTGTTCTATCATTAAGCATTACCCCAGCCCCAAGTGTTACCTTTTTAAAAGTATGTGTTCAGTTGGTGGCAAGTGTGGTACCAGTATTTTTTTTCCAGAGAAGAAATATAGGACTGGCATCCTGACTATGTGATGCTCACCTTTACCTTCTCTGACTTCATCACTGAGGCCAACTCCTGCGGGGAGGGGCTCAGGAAGCAAGAGAGAGAGAAAGGGCACTCAAAATTCTAAATGCAGAAAACATTCAGTGTTTTTAAAATTAGTATATGTTTGTAGTGTATAGTCACATTCTTTGTGGAGAGTTGGTACATGTACATTAACATGTCTTATTTTTTTTAATTCCCTTCCCCATCCCTGACCTTCAGCATTCTTTTGACATATGTTCTAAAAACAACACATAGAAACTTGTATGTATATATTTAGAATATTGTTCACAATATTCTCTTAAACACAAAGGAAGAATAAGAAAAAAAAGAGGTTTAAACCAGAGGAATTTCTTTTTCTTTTAGGTAAAAGTTTGAGCTGAATGATTGGATCAGAAGGAGATAAACTCTGTTCAAGGTCATTTGGATTCTTTCCAGTCTTGTTTGTCCAGGGTATTAATACCTGAGTTTTATGGTTAAGCATAACTACCACTATATTTATGTACCAGCCCACAATAAGAGGGAAAGAGATTTCAGGACAAGTCCTTGCAGAGACATGTTGCAAAACTTGCAAACATAGTTGGGTATGGTGGTACATACCTATAATTCTAACACCCTGGGAGACTGAGTCAGGGAGATCCTAAGTTCAAGTCCACCTTGGGTGATTGAATGACTTAGACCCTGTCTCAAATAATTTTTTAGAAGGAATAGGGATGGGGATGTAGTTTAGTATAGGTCCTCAGTTCAGTCTCCAGTACGGGGCAGGAAAAATATACACATTGTTCCTGTTTACATCTCATTAGCCAACTTTAGTCACATGGCCACAGCTAGCTGCAGAGGAGTTTGGAAAAGATAACTGTAACTGTAGAAAACTGTATAGGGTTCTGTTTGTAAAAGGGAGAAGGGAAGAAAAAAATTAGGTCTACTAGCTGTCTCCCAGAAGTTTGCTGACAATTTTTGCCAGCCTGTCCTGTACCACTTTAAAAGATTTGTTAGGGAATAGCTGTACCAGTGAACCTTGTGATCTCAGATCAGTAGCATACTAAGATAAAGATGATGTTTCAGTAGCTGTGTTTTTTTTTTTTTTTTTTTTTTTTTTTTTTT